GCCATTAAATAAAATCACCAATCATATAGACATATGATCAGGCAGGGCAGCAAATGGTTTGAAGAACAGAGCATTCCAGGATGGGGTGATTAATGGGCGTGGACAGGACGAGCTTGTCTGGGGGAGAAACATTTCAATGAGATGCAGATGGAGAAACCTGGAGGATGAGGCATTTGAGGTACCTGGAAGAGCATGTGCAAAGGCCCTGGGGCAAGAGAGAGCTTGGTTTGTTGAGTTACTGACTGAAGACTGGAGTGGCTGGAATTCAGTGGGTCACAGGAGATTGTGGGAGAAGATTCATACCACATGAAACCTTTAGGCTTTGGGTGTTTTTTAAAAATTGTACCTATGTGGAGTGGCCTGTTTTAAGCAGTGAAGTTGGCAAGGAGGTGACATGATCCCATTGGTGTGGAGAATGAATCAGTGAGGGCTGTGTGGAAGAAAGATGAATTAGGAGATGGTCATAGTCAGAGAGATGGTGAAGGCTGGACCAGGAGAGGTCCCAGAATGTTGTGGAAAAGACAGTGATGGTGGGACCCAAGATGTGGGACTTAAGCAGATGTAGCTGAGGGAGTGAGGGGGTCCCAGTGGTCCTGAAAAAGCAAACGGGGAGGATTTGGCCAGGGAGTGGATATTTGGGTTACCCTGGAGATGACTGCCTGCTCCTGAGGGGGATGGGTGGGGTGTGGGAGAAAGGTGACAATAATGACAAGGGGATGTGACTAATGACAAGGGGATGTGACTAATGACAAGGGGATGTGAGGAGTCTGAAGGACACCCCCAGAGCTGTAGAATTTCTGTATTCAAACTCATTTTGAATACCAAAAGGTTGGAAATACCCGAGAGGCCCACTGGTTATTCTGGAGATACCCGCTGGGTATAACTCCCTGCTGCTAACTGCTCCTTGCAGCCTGTCACATGAGATTCTTCAAGTGTGAGCTACTTCAGGGGAAAGGCCCCTCAGAGCTGATGACTTGCTCTGCTCTCAGTGGTTAGCTGCCTCTCCAAGGCTCCCCTCTCCCATTCTCTCCAAGGGAATGGTTCAACTGGGCATCAGCCATGGACTGCTCTCATCCTCCACAGGGGTGGGGGTGGGGATGTCCACATGACTGAGCCACAGAACCTGCTGCTTTCTTTGGCCTCCTCACCTCAGACTTTTCGGGAGCGCTGAGGTGGCAGCTTTTTCCTATTTCAGGGACCATACTGGTGGCACTCAACGGAGCCCAGGGCTACCCCAGGCAGTGCTGGGGGCATGCGATGGGTGGGCCTGAGATGAGTGGGTCTCGCCTGTGTAGGCATGTGCTCTGCCACTTGAGCAGATTCCTGGCCCATATAGAGCATATTTAGTGGTGTTTTCACAAACTTAAAAAAAATTTGTTTTAAAAACTACAAGGTACAAGTAGAACAGAAAGTGCACTGGCCCTCAGCACCCAGCTCAGTGAACGTACCCCCTGACCCCCAGGGAGGCTTTTGGCTCTGCACTCAGGGATCACTCCTGGTGATGCTCAGGGGACCATATGGGATATGGGGGATCAAACCTGCATTGGCCATGGGCAGAGCAAGTGCCCTACCTGCTGTGCTATCTCTCCAGCCCCTCTCCTTAGATCTTATCTGACTCTGACTCAGATTTGTGTATTATGTGCAATGTATAGGAATAGAGCCTTGTTGTTTCTTCCTTGCAGACAACAGGATTTGAGGACCTCTCAGAATGATTGTATAAAAAGGTTTAAAATCATGTTTTGGGGGGCCAGAGCTATAGTATCGTGGGTAGGGTTGTTTGCCTTGCACTCAGCCAACCCAGGTTCAATCCCCAGGGTCCCATATGGTCCCCTAAGCTCTGCCAGAAGTAATTTCTGAGTGCAGAGCCAGGAGTAACCACAAAGCATCACCGCGAATGACCCAAAAAGAAAAAAAAACACATTTTTCTTTGGGGGTAGGTGGGATATGAGATGCCTGGGTCGGCCACATGCAAAGAAGTATCCTACCCACTGTACTATTGTTCTTGCCCTCTAAAATCACTTTTTTGGGGGGAGGGGTTATACCCAGTGATGCACAGGGGTTACTCCTGGCTCTGCACTCAGGAGTTATCCCTGGCGGTACTCGGGACCATATGGGATGCTGGGAATCGAACCTGGGTTGGCTGCATGCAAGGCAAACGCCCTACCGCTGTGCTATTGCTCCAGCCTCTAAATCCACATTTTAAAGAAAAATGGGGAATAGCAGGTTTTGAATCCTTCTCTTTCTTAGGTTTTTCTGCAGTGAGTGGTTCTCTTTAGTTGTTTTGGTTGGTTTGCTTTTGGGGATCATACCTGGCAGTGCTCAAGGCTCCCGTGGTGAGGTGCTTGGGACTCTCAATGGTGCTCGGGTGACCGTAATGTGCTGGAGTTCGAGCCCAGCCTCCTGGACCCAATGCATGCTTGACCCTTAGAGCCAACCGTCTCCTCAGCCCCATTCTATTTGTGTTTGTAGGGGAGTCCTGGCTGAAAGGAATAGGTTGAGGGGCAGCTAGCCAGTGGCCACTGGTGTCAGGGTAGGGTTGCACCAAGAAAGCCACTTTGGGGACTGGAGCAATAGCACAGCGGATTGGGCGTTTGCCTTGCATGCAGCCGACCTAGGTTCAATTCCCAGCATCCCATATGGTCCCCCGAGCACCACCAGGAGTAATTCCTGAGTGCATGAACCAGGAGTAACTCCTGTGCATCGCTGGGTGTGACCCAAAAAACAAAAAGAGAGAAAGAAAGAAAGAAAGAAAGAAAGAAAGAAAGAAAGAAAGACAGACAAAGAAAGACAGCCACTTTGGCCAGACAGATAATACAGGGGCTAAGGCACTTGCCTTGCCTGGGTTGACCATATGGGTACCCCAAGCATAATTGTTCTGAAGGACCTCTGGTCTCCTGAGCACTGCTTAGGGAGACCCACCTCCCCAAATGAAGAAGAATACCACTAAGTGAAAAATTCAGAGCATTCGTTCACTTTCTGCGGGCCACTGTCTGTGGGACAGAGACACTTCCCACGAAGGCCATGCTCTAAGCTGCTGGCTTCCCTTTTCCTCCCTGTACTCCATCCGCCTAGGAAGTGGCTCTGTGGCCTGACTTTTTTTTTTTCCTTGTAAGGGTACTGCTATTTATTCAGCCACTGATTAGACTGATTGAATTGGCCATGAACTCCAACTTACTTTTTTTTTTCATTTTTTATAATTTTATGTATTGAATCACTGTGAAAGCAGTTACAAAGCTTTCGGGTTTAAACCTCAGTCATACGATGAAACACCCATACCTTCACCAGTGCCCATTCTCCACCACCAAAAACCCCAGTCTATGCAGTCTCATGGGAAGGGAGACGGTACCGGCTCGTCCTTCATGCTCTGCCGAGGTCACGAGGTGCTCCCCACGAGCAGCTCTCTGGCACGGCCATGGCTCCAGAGGCAAAAGGACTTAATCCAGAGCCCGGCAGCTTGCGGCAGAAAAGTGAATGGTCCATGCGTTAAACTGTGGCGTTATGCCTCCCTGTGAGGGAAAGGGTGTTGCTCCCTTCTGCCCTTTTCCCCCACAGCAGCAAGGTGGACGCGGCCTCAGAGCTTATAGGAAAGCCAGGTATGAGCCAGTAGTGACGGGGCAACTGCAGTCTCATGGGAAGGAGGGAAGTACTGGCTCATCCTTCACACCCTTCCGAGGTCATGAGTTGCCCCCCACGAGTGGCTCTCCCACACAGCCATAACACCAAACGGACAGAAACCAATCTCGTAATTATCTGGCTCTTTGCAGAAATCCAAAATCATTTTATGACATTATATGATTCTCATACCAACTATAGAAAACAAAGTATTTCACAATGCCTTTTCAGCAATTCTGATTGTTGGGGGCGAAATTCTAAACAATAATGGTGCATCTTTTGTTGAAATAATGGGCTGGAGCGATAGCACAGCGGGTAGGGCGTTCGCCTTACAAGCGGCCAACATGGCCGACCCGAGTTCGATTCCTCCGCCCCTCTCGGAGAGCCCGGCAAGCTACCGAGAGTATTCGATATGCCAGACACAGTAACAACAAAGTCTCCAATGGAGACGTTACTGGGCCCGCTCGAGCAAATCGAGCAATGAATGTAATCAATGTAGAGAAGAGTTAAGTATAAATCATCTGCCTCATAGGCATTGGAAGGGGTGGGGGAGGTATATTGGGGTTCTTGATGGTGAAAACTGAGTACTGGTGAAGGGAAAGGTGTTTGATCATTGTATGACCGAGATTTAAACCTTAAAGCTTTGTAACATTTCCCACAGTGATTCAATAAATAAATAAATAAAATTATAAAAAAAAAAAGGTAAGGTGTTCATGCCCAATTCAATCAGCTAATCAGTGACTGAATAAATAGCAGTACTCCTTCATAAAAAAAAAAAAAAGGTATACCTCCATCCTACACCCTCCCCCTACCTGTGGGGCAGATGATTTCCACATTACTCTCTCTCTACTTTGATACATTCAATATTTCAACCATTATTATTTGGGATTTTACCCCAACACTCAGATCTGCCAAAAAGGCAACAGTAGACAATTTGTTTTCTATTGCTGCTTATGAATAACATATGATGTCGTGCGGCCACAGTAGTGGCCACGCAATTTTGAAATTCTAACAATTGAATCTGGAGGGATTTCTGCCAAATCCTGCTGGGTTCCGAGATTTGTTCCTGAGTCTCTTGGATCATGGTCGTTAAGCAGCTTGATCAGGAGCCAGAGAGGCCATTCCTGGGTGGCAACTCGGAGTCTCTTTGGGGTGGGGAGGAAAGGGCCGGTTCCACCCCATCTCATGAAGCCCCGCGTGTCTTGTCACTGAGGGCCCAAACCTGACTGTCCAGTGGTCTGTGTCCTGACTTGGCCTGGCCCCTGGGGTAGGTTTGGTGGGGGATACTGGGAGGGACCTCCCCGTTTGCTGTTGACTCATGCCACACCCCATTAGCCCTGTGGGGCCTCCCTAGGTTCCTTACAACTGTCCCTCCTTCCTCCCCACAGGTAGAAAAACTGGTGAAATATCTGGACCCCAACGACCTGGGGAGAATCAATTTCAAGGACTTTTGCAGAGGGGTGTTTGCCATGAAAGGTGAGGCCTGCGGGGTGCTCTGGAGCTGGGGGAGGTGGTGGCTGGGATGCCTAACTGCCAGGGTCTCACAGCCCAGCAGGTGACCCGGAAGTGAGTTCTAACTTCTCTGGAGGCTCAGGAGGAGGGTCTTGGACTCCTGCCCATCTGCAAAGGAATTATGGCGGCCTTTGCACCTCGGCCCTTGAGTCCCACACCCAGGGCAGCATTTCTGCCCCCTCAGAAATGAAGGACTCCCGGGGCTGGAGAGATAGCACAGTGGGTAGGGCGTTTGCCTTGCACACAGCCGACCCAGGTTCAATTCCCAGCATCCCATATGGTCCCCTGAGCACCGCCAGGAATGATTTCTGAGTGCAGAGCCAGAAGTAACCCCTGTGCATTGCCGGGTGTGACCCAAAAAGCAAAAAAAAAAAAAAGAAATGAAGGACTCCCCGGGGCTGGAGTGATAGTACAGCAGGTAGGGTGTTTGCGGTCGACATGGGTTCGATTCCCAGCATCCCATATGGTCCCCTGAGCACCACCAGGAGTAGCTCCTAAGTGCAAAGCCAGGAATAACCGTTGTGCATCACCGGGTATGACCCAAAAAGCAAAAAAAGAAAAGAAGAAGAAATGAAGAACTCCCTCTTTGCCTTCTCTGCCTTTGTGCCCTGAAAGAGGTCAGAGGAGTCCACCTCCCCCGTGGGTGGCCTGGAGTCTCCTGGGGCTTGTGTTTTAAAACACAGGACAGCTCTAAGCTAACCTGGGCAAACTAGCCCTCAAGGGAGCAATAAAATCCCCGGAATCTGGAATCTGGAATCTCAGCATGGCTGATTGTTGTTACTTGGAAACTAATGGGCCGAGGGGAGGAGCAAGGGCAGCAGCCAGGTGGGCTCACCGAACCTCTCCAGACCCTCTGAGTTCTGGGGAGCAGGCAGCAGGAAGCTCCGGCAGGGGTGAGGAGGGGAGCCAGCAGAGGTTGGGGTCCTATATGCGATGGCTAGGCTCCCTGGGGCCCCCGCTAAGCTTGGAGCCGGGGCAGGATTTTCCTCCCTTGTTAGGTATGATTTGGGGGCGTTTTCTCAAGGACAGAGAGGGATTCCAATGGTGTCATGGGGCCCATGGGACAGAGACCCATAAGAAAGTGGCCTTATCCCAGATACACTCAGTTTCCCGGGCTGCAGAGGCCTCAGGGCAGTGTGTACACCTGGGAGGCCTCACCAGTGAGTCAGGGAGTTTTATACCTCTTCTTCCAGGAAGGCCTGCTTGATTCCCCTTCCTCAGCCTGCCCTCCTTCTGTGTCCGGCCTGTCTCCTACAGACTCAGGCCACCTATGTCCCCTCATTACATCCTGGCCAAGGCCTCCCAGGGGCCAAATTGCCGAGCCCGCCTCAGGCTGTGACCTTCACTGTCTCTCTGTCTGCCACAGGCTGTGAGGAACTGCTGAAGGATGTGCTGTCCGTGGAGACCGCGGGGCCCCTGTCCTGCATGCCGGAGATCCCCGACTGTGGAGAGCAGGTAAGGGGCATCCTGCACATGTGCTCAGCCCAGGAAGTTTGTTATTGGAAGCAGAGAAGCAACTCCCCCGGGAAGTCAAGAACAGGGCTCTCACAGAGCAGCTCTTCCCGCTCCCCCGCCGAGTAGAGCAGCCAAGAGGCGCTCCCTGGGAGAGAGGACTGCAGCTTCCCCTGTCGCCAACCGCTCCTCGACACACAGACAAGGCCTGTGTGGTTTTCCCCAACAGCAACAACCAGTTCTTCCACCCAGAGACCCAGAGTGGGCAGAGTTGCAGCCTGAGATTAAATCTCGCCTCAGACAGGGTGCTGCGGCTGTAGGACTTCCTGCAGTCCAGCTGCTAATGTTCCTGGGACCCAGGCACACACTGGATTCATGACTGGGGGTTTGCGCCGCCACACTCCTGCACAGCCAGTGGGAGTGGGCAGGGGCCAGGTGGGGGCAGAGTCCGGGCCCCTCCAGCCCAGCCCAGAACAGTCTCTTTGTGGGAGAGGATCCTCCCCTCGCTGGGGAGCCAAGCACAAGTTGTGTGTGGGAGGGCTGGGGGGTTAGAGGGGGAGGTGGTAGCCTCCCCCTGGCCGCACTTTCACCAGTTCTGTTGGGGATCCAGCTACGAAGCTGTAGCTGTTGGGGCCGTTTCAGGCACGTGGGCAGTTCTGGGGTTTGAACTTGTGACCTTCTAGCCTCTGAGCCGTCTCTGGCGGTTCTGCAGGCTGGAGGGGAAGGCCGGCTGGGCGGGCCCCTGCACTGTACTAGCCTCCTTCCTGGCTCAGACCCCTGGGCCATGCGGCTCTGGGCTCCATCTGGCTCAGAAGGGGCCATAGGGGCAAGACTGCAGCTCTTCAGGTCAGCGCCAGACTGGGCCAGGCCCTCAGTGCCCTGCTGTGCCCCAGCCGTCCTCTAGGGGTCAGCCTGCGACCAACTGAGCCTGCAGGAGGATGGGTCCTTGCAGGGCTGCTGGGATGAAAGTGGGCAGTGGTGAGGGCCCAGCAGGGAGGACTCAGGACAGGCGGCTTGAAAGGGGGGGGGGGCGGGGGCTGGAGGGGGCTGTGTGGCTTCTGCCACACCAGCCATTGGGGTGGTGACAAAGAGCTTTGCTGTTGGCTGGTCACCGTCACCTCTACGCCTGCCCTGTGGTTCTCCCAGCAGAGAGGAGGGAGAGAGGCAGGCCCTGGGCCTCCTATTCCTTTAGGGGTTCTTGGACAATCATGTGCATGATTATGGCGCCCCTATGGGACAGTTTTGTTGTTGCAGCTCATTGTGGGTGCTGCCAGGGCAGTGGTGTTTGCGAGGAGGGTTGCGGTGCTGGGAAAGGACCCCAGGGCCTCTACCACGTGAATCTCATTCTTGGCCTTGGGACAGCTCTTTATTTTTCCTGTTGGTCTTGGCGTAACAGCCCCACTCATCTTGCTAAGTGCTAATAGCTTGTTCTCGAACGGCAGGTTCTAGCGTGACATTTCATTGTGTGTGCTGGCGTTGATGAAAGAGCAGCCAGGGAGCCCAGCGGCCTGTGTGGCCTGCGTGGGTTTCCCCAAGGCCCGGGCCTGTGTCAGAGTCATTGGCATGCCCCAAGTGTCCCTGTATAAGATTTGAGGCTCCCTTATTCCCCGAGCTGCTATAAACTCTGGCTACCCAAGCACTGAGCTGGGATAAGGAAAGGGCTGGAGGGCTGAAGTGATAGCACAGCCGGTAGGGCATTTGCCTTGCACGCAGCCGACCCAGGTTTGATTCCCAGCATCTCATATGGTCCCCTGAGCACCGTCAGGAGTAATTCCTGTGTGCATGAGCCAGGGGTAACCCCCGTGCATCACCGGGTATGACGCCCCCCCAAAAAAAGACTAGAAAAGGATTGAATTGTATTGAATTGTTGTTTGGTGCTAGATGTTTTTGGTTTTTTTTTTTAGAATTTTGTTGTTATTTATGATCTAAAAAAAGGGGGCAGGCCCTAAAAACGTATCTTTTGTTTATATCAATCTGACTATGGTGAAATTGGTTTAAATTGTTTGGATTGCATAAAGTGAGAATTTAAAGGTCTGTATTCTAGTCCGCTTGATTTGCTTCACAATGGAGCCCTGCTTTTTTTTGCATACATTTAAATGACTGCATAATATTTCATTACAAGAAAACGTTAAAATTTATCAGTTTCTTTTCTTTATTTCTTTTTTTTGTTTGTTTAGCAAAGGGGGGGGGTAACAAAAATTCCCCCTAATTTTGAGGATTAAAAATAAGGCCATGTTGGTGCTAGAGCAATAGTACAGTGGGTAGGGCATCTGCCTTGCATGCGGCTGACCTGGGTTCAATCTCTATATGGTCCCCTGAGCCCACCAGGAGTAATTCCTGAGTGCAGAGGCAGGAGTAACCCTTGAGCACCACTGAGTATCCAAAAAACAAACAAAATAAAACAAAAAATCATAACGTGGTAATTACTCTGGTAGCAAAATCATTCCCCATGGCAGCAACTTCTGTGTACGATTGGCAGTCCCTCTAGGCCAAATCTAGCAAGTTGTTTTTGTAAATAAAATCTGCTGGAACTGAGCCCTTTTGTGTACGTTGGCTGATGACCTGATCTGAGGGCCATGACCTGATCTGAGGGCCGTAGCACTGAGTGGTTCACAAACATCTTCTCTTCATAGAACAAACAAACGTGAGAGGTGGAGACTGTTCCATCACAGGGAGGCAATCTCAAGAGTTTTAATGCATTTGCCACGTTTCTCTCAATTGTGGCCTCAGCCTGCTATCCCATGAGGGGTGAGAGAAAGAGTCTAGCTGTCCCGACACCTGGTGATGAAGGCTTCTCAAATCTTTCGCGTTTGAAAGAGACTACACTTAGGATTGCTTCTGAATTATACATGCTTGGACTTCTTGAATTACATTTATTCGTCATCAGGAACTCCTTTATGAATTGCCTGGCAACCTTCTTCACCCTTGTTTCCACGGATCTGTACATATCCATTGATATATAAAAACTAGAAATAATAATTTTGACATACTTTGCAGATATTTTTTAGCTTGTAATTTATTATATTTTATTGTTTTTGTTTTTCATGCCATACCTGGCTCTGCTCGGGGTTTACTCAGGAATCTTGCTTACTCTGTGCTTAGGGATCTCTCCTGGTGGGGCTCAGGAGACCGTACATGGTGTCAGGAATCAAACTAGGGTCAGCTGTAAACAAGGCAAGCGCTTTTCTTACCATACTATCTCTTCAGTCCTTGTTATTTATTTTTTAACGTGTGTGTGTGTGTGTGTGTGTGTGTGTGTGTGTTTGTAAAGGAAGATATTTTTTATTGAAAGAAATTGACCTAGATGTGAGGGGAGATAGAGAAAGGAATATGTGTTTAAGAGAAAAAGGTCTTCGTAGGGGAAAAAGCCAAATACACATCCCACGCTGGAATATGCAGGTCACTTCCCCAGAATGGGGAAACATACCCTCAGGTAAGAAAGTGCACATCTCGGGCAGATGCAGGTGAAAGAGGCAAAGCTAAGTAAGAGCATATCTCAAGAAGTGATGCAGGGGCTGGAGCGATAGCACAGCGGGTAGGGCGTTTGCCTTGTACGCGGCCTACCCGGGTTCGATTCCCAGTATCCCATATGGTCCCCCGAGCACCTCTAGGAGTAATTCCTGAGTGCATGAGCCAGGAGTAACTCCTGAGCATTGCCGGGTGTGACCCAAAAAGAAAAAAAAAATGTGATGCAGACTGTCATTTGTTTGTTCTGTTTTTTTGTTTGTTGTTGGGAGTGAAAAGGAACCACACGGGCAGTGCCTGGGGCTTACTCCTTGCTCTGTGCTCAGGGATCACTTCTGGAAGTGCCTGGGGAACCATCTGGGGTATGGGGATTGAACCCAGTCAGCTACGTGCAAGGCCAACACTCTACATGCTGTCCTATTCCCTGACCCTGTCATTGATTTTTTTTTTTAATGTAGGAGTATTGCTATTTATTCAGTCATTGGTTAGGTTGATTGAATTGGGCATGAACTCCACCTGTCATTAGTTTTTTAATGTCATGACAGAACATTTTTAAAAAATGATAGCCTACCCATCTTTCTTTGTTATTGTAGCCATGGCAAGACTAGAGTTTTGTCACCCCAGTCTGGGAGGTGCTTCTCTGTTATTTATATTTGTGTATTCAGTCGTAAAGGGTTGACCCAGGGAGTGAACTGTGATGTCTGCAGTGAAGGAGGATCCTGTTTTCCCTTCCCCCCTCAGCTCCCCTTCGCCCTCCAGGTTCTTACCTTGCGTCACAAGAACTGGATGCTCCTGGCTCGGTGCTGCTTAGTTGAATCCCACTGGGCAAAGCCTGAGAGCGTTTCTGAGACCCAGGCTTCAGCCTGAACCTCCTGGCCTTTCCGCTCTGGTTCAGGGAGGCACTGCCCAACCCTCTCTTGCCAGGACAGGTTTAACACATCCTTGGGCTTCTGGCTAGAGCTGCTGGGGGGGAGTGCCCGAGTCCACCTTTGTTTAACTTCTGTGCAGAAACACTTCTAAAGCCACCTGTGACAACAACACATTCTAAAAATACTTTCCCTGACACACAGGGCTGTGATTCAGCTGTGCTGGTGGCCGAGTGGGTGGCGACGCTGTACTTGTGCTGGCCTGACCAGAAGTGAGGGTGTTTCTAGGGGCTGGGGGTGGGGTGGCTTTTTCTCAATCCTTTCCACTTATGCCATGGAAGATTGTTGTTTTTCTCCTTTCCTTTAGGCATCCTGACATGCACTCCTGCCCTTTGGGCTTTCTCCTTGGACCTGCAGTAGGGTTTTATTTTTTTTGTTGTTTCTGTTTTTGTTGTTTCTGTGTGTCCCCCCCCCCCCCATCCCCCTCGCAGTGTAGGATCAGACCCAGGTCATCACCCAGGCAAAGGTACTGCACAGGTCAGCATGTTAACACTTGGCTGTATGGTCAGTCAACAAGGTCTCAGCTGTCCGCAGAGCCCAGCCAGACAGGAGGGATCCCTGTCCCTGTGATACCCTGATGAAGAAGGCACCTGGCAAAGGGACAGTCCCCTG